ATGTCTCATCTGAATGATGCAAGCTGCCTGGGAATCTTTGTACAGAGGGCTCAGAATGGAGGCACAGTGAGTGAGGGGAAACGGCCCAGATGGTCGTTCTCCCTGCTGGCCCACCCCAGAGATCACAAAGCTCTCACTGCTTGTCTGCTGTTACTGAGACTGCTCTTTCAGTACAGTACAAGCAATAGGTGGTAGGCTGGTGGATTGTTTGTTTTAGTAATACATTTAAGTGAAAGCACCTCTAAATTAGTAAATGTAGAAAAAAAAATCTAAATTCTTTCCAAGGCTTACAGGGTAAATACACCTTCAAGTTACCTACAAGTACGTAATTATGACAACGAGACAATAACATGAAGACAAGGTTTCATCAAATGCCTGAGACAATTACACATGCACAGAAGAGACCATCTATTTATCTGAGAGTCAGTATAAGAAAAGACTTGAGAACTTTCAACAATGTATATTTGTTGGAGGGTACAGCTCCAATGGCAACCATACTGTTAATGCTGCACAGTTTGTTGTTGTGCATCTCTGAAATGTTTGCCATTTAAAAATATGAAAAGTACATGCTGACTTCCTGTTATTTACTCAGAAACTATAGTGAAAGCAACCTTCTTTTTTCACAGTGACAGATATTTCCTGTGAAACTCTGGACACAACCACTTTAGAAAATATAAATTAGTTTGATGAAATATATGACAACTTAAACTGTATGAGTCATTCACCCTATTACATGAACCAAATTACACTGATGGGAGACACTGCGGCAGAAGCAGGAAAAGAAACAGGCCAGTAGACAGAAACAGCAGCCAGGGATACATTATCACTCGGTTACTGGTTTATGTTTAAAACTGCTGCAGCACTGAATTAGCCAACAGTACTGCTTGTCTGAGCCAGGAAAACTGCACCAGCTCACACACACACAAAAAAAACCCCACTTGTAACAGAGACAATAGAAGCCAACAGTGCTAACAACAAGTAACAGCATGTTTCACTATTAAAAACATTCATTTTTTTCAAATGCTGTTTTACATAAAAAAGCCTTCTGAACTTAACCCTTTTCAACTGCATACAAATGAAACAAATATATAGTAAATTCTTGCTCTGCACTGTAAGAACATTTTAAAAGCAATGTGACTACAAATCAGTTTTTTTCCACTAATTACTGGTTAGATTTGGAAAGCTTTTGTTCAAGTAAATTCAAGACTGAGAGAACTATATCCCTGATGTATAAATGTCACCTGACGCTGGCAGAGCACTGACAGCGTGCAGGATGTCTTTCAATAGACCACTCCCTCCCTGGAAAGAACAGTCCTCCATGCTGGCTCATAACAACTCAGCAGTTTATTTATAACAACCCACAGCAAGTATGCTCATGAGAATATATTCTCATGCCAGCTACATGCACCTGCCCTGACACACAGGCCTGCTGTTCTGTCTGACCAACCAGCTGGGTACACATATTATGTAGCTGCACCTCATAACAAACACTGGCTACGAGTGTATGCCTGGCTTGCAGGTTACATTCAACTTTGCTGCTCTTTAATGGCAAATGCTGCTATTATTTTGTCCAAAGAGAAACATAAATCAGATGGACAAAGACATGAAAAAAAGTTATAAGACAAAATAAGAAGTACCCTCTTCAAAGAGAGATCAAAGTACTGTAGCGTAAAACCTGAAAAGGGTAGCGGGGGGTACCCAGGGGGAGGAACAGGGGAAAATGGGGAAAAGCCCTCGGTTTTCTCAGCTGGGCCAGCAGTGGGGCGAGGTGAGCTGTGGGGGAATGGAAGGAAACGAGGGAGGGCTAAGGCAGGCTGGCTGACCTGGGCCTTTGTTGGCAGATGGTGGGAAGCGCCACCTTGGCCTCTCATTCTGAATACTGAGCAGCAGTGCCATTGTCTGGCAAACACAGAAGGAGACGCATGCGCTATGTGTTTCTCTGGCAACCAGGAACAGAAACAAACTGCTCCCCCCATGGTGCACACATGCAGGCCTCAACTCCTGCCTCTGAACTCCTGTGCATCTTTCAGGACTCCATAAACACGTGTGCCAACCTCCAAGAGGGTATTCCCATACACCAGGAAACCAGGCCACACGTAACTTAGTATGATCCCACACTTCTGACCCCAAGGGTCTAGGGAGAGCAAGAGGTCAGACAAGCAGTTGACAGTTGGGGTCGGTTTCCATAATAGACATGATAATCAAATGCAGTGCAGTGCTTTCTACATGGGGACCAGAGACCACACCAGGGTCATTAAGAGTTACTCACAGGTCCCAGGACAAAGCACATTGATTTAACTTTACTGTAACTTCACTTCATTTGTGTTGGTTCAATTGATTGTTTCTGTTAACTCCCCACCTACTGCACAGATTGTTATATAATCCAAGAATAAATCACTTTGTCACACAGAAAAATAATCCATTATCATTCAGCCACCCCACAACCTCCAAAATGGCCAGCTGAAACAACACACCTTCAACAACAAACCTGATTTGATTAACTTCATAAAAAACCTAATAAACTATCCCTAAATACCCCCCCAACACACACACACACACACACACACACACACACACACACACACACACACACACACACACACACACACACACACACACACACACACATACACACACACTATGAGCTAGAGAGGGTTTCATACTACCACCTGCCATAACCAGCTACTTTCTGCCCCTGTCATAAACACATGGCAGCTGTGATCATGGCAGGAAATCAGGTTGAGACATCACACCCCAAAGCTAAGCCACAACAGAAGCTGTCAGATCACAAAAGGCATATCTCTTTGCCACCGACAGGCAAGAGAAGTCAACCTAATCCATTCTCACACACTACTGCCACCATGCTGTAAATAAAACAGGAGGTGACATAATGACATAACCACAGTGACTTCACCCCACCAGAAAGTAGTGTAGGGAGGTACTGGCATATCTCTGCGTAAACTCAAACATAAAGGAATATTTTGGGGCAATGGCAGCATAAAACCAGGACAGTGAATGCCGATAGCGCCCTACACCGCATGCTAAATATTTGCACACAGGTGTTTAGGTAATAATTACAGTACAAAATTCGTAAGGCAGTTTTTAACACGTCTATCATCTAATGGTGGTTTAACAACCTGTTCTTACCAAAGCAAACGTCTTGACAGGCTAGTTATTACTACTAATCGAAACTGTCGTGCTGAGGGTTCACCGGCCCAGGCACTGACGGGCCTGTCAAGGTGCACGGTAGCACCCCTTCAAAAGCTAATGTTATGCGAAATGGTGAGGGAGATACAACTATCACAAGACGGGCCCTGTGTAGGCCAATATTGGCCCCATTATTAAGCAACAAGTAATCACTCTGAAATGGATAAAGCTTTACTGTTCTGCGACGTGGCATTCACTGACTTGTGCACTTGCTAGCCATAGAGGCCACTTTCATTTTAGCTGGCTGGTACAGTAACAAGGCTAATGCACCTTGCTAGCCCTACAACAGTAACTGAACAAAGCCGGCAACCGGTTCGCAACGCCTCATAGCTTGGTTGTGATTGAGCTTTTCTATACCAAATAATGTCACGTCATCTATCAGTAATATATAATTCTAATATATCCAAATGGCAGTTGTGTTTAATAAAACTGTAACAGGACGCAGTAATGTAGCCTCAGCTCCCAAAAATCAAACTGACATTAGCGCTGGCTGTGACAACCGGCTTGATAAGCTAACGTTAGCATGCTTAGCTAACCAATTGTCCCCTCCCATCCCATTTCACTCCAAACGAAACCATCATCCTAGCATCCAACCTCTATTATATATCACCAACAAAACAACAATGTATGTTATGAGGAGTTAACGAAGTGCATAAAATCATAAGCCATTTTCATGTTACCCAAGTCAAAGGATACTGAGGTGGAGGTACCGCGCCGGGCTGTGGAGCTGTTGGGGCTCCCGGCGGCAGAGACCCGGAGGTCAGGGTAGCCCGCAGTTGGCTCGACGGAGAGGGGCCACTTCCAGGTCCGCTAACTGCGACAACGGTGGATTTGGGGACTACTTTCGGTGGCAAACTCATCGCAAAAACAACAAATAAAACAATACCTTAATAAATACTAATACAAACAACGTCTAGCTTGCATACATAAAGCAAGCGTAGCAAATTCTTGAAGCAGGCCCCAAATCCCTTTAACAAACTGGGATAACGAAGCTCGAATAGCAATACAAACGTCCTTTTTCATGGAAAGTCGCTGTACGGATCAGCGGTGCTATTCATGGGGACGGTGGGAGGATTGGCCTCCCTCGTCCATCCGGAACCAAAACGGATCCGGTTTAGTTCGTTTCTTTCAAAAGAAGTAATCGCCACAATCTTCAGCCTCCCTCAGCGATCTATCCTTTCTTCTCGACAAGTATGTTTTCTATCATTTTTTTTCTCACTGAGATGAGAGACTTCGCCAACATGGCGTTGCGACCGCTTCCAACAGTCCGGGCAGGACAGATGATTCGGCAATTCTCGGCCAGTTACGGATTCGCTCGGCTAATCAACTAACCCGCAATCACTTACATTCATACAATGATTCGGGTTGTGTTCACCCCCTCTACTTAGTTAACAAGATTACATTTCACAATGTAATAACGGCTAATTGGGGCAGATTTTTTAATTATATGAATTTGAGCAAATGTTTCTTATAATTTGCGTGTATGCATGGCCAAAACACCGCATTATTCAGCTATATATATATGTATACATGGACTGTTCCATGGGTTGTACTCTGCACCAGCAGCAGGACTGTAACGTGGATTTATGTGTTAGAAACGCCATCTACTGTTCTTCTGGCTGCTTCGCATCTGCTAGTTCAAACATGACCTGATTAGATTTAATGTAATTGGTTAAGTATTGCAACCTGAGACTACTGGTTACTATATGGATCTAGTTAACACTACTCAGAACAACAAAAAGGTGTTTGTGTGAGATTTCAAACAACTGAACAAAATGTGGACACAAGACAGATACGTTTTAAAATTGATTTTACTATATAAAATAATGTTGCGACAAACTCTTACTCATGAAAAGAGGTATGACACATCTTTGCTTAGCCTACATGACCAAGTTCTGAATGAAAAAACATATTTTGTGAATTTCTCAATTAATTCTGTCTCTGATTTGTATTGGCCTTCCATTAGAGAAATTAAATGGCAGCAATATGACACTGTTTTTTGACACCATATCTTTAAAAAAAATACAAATACCACATCAATATCTGTATCAAAAATAATACTATACACAAATTGTTTCTGAAATATTGCAATGCTTCAAAGACAAAATGGTTATTGTAGTAGCAAAACATTTATACCAATTCTTAATTAACAACTTCTAATTTTCACTTGGGTAAAAAATTCTTGAAGGCCTCTGGTTCACTGTTATACAAAAAAGTGACCATAAAAAAACAAAACAAAAGACAAACACACTTAAAAGATTTACCGGAGTAAACACAAGCACAGCAAAGAGTTACAATAAGTGTCACTTTGCTTATTTACAATTTTATGTGGAAAAACAAGCAGCTCACAAAATATGAGATCAGTTCCCCCATTTTTTAACCATCAGCTGGGTTTCCAGTGTTCAAAGAGCACATTTGTAGCTAGATCTAATTGAAGAGTTCAGGGAACGCTGTTTGCTAACTCATCAGTCTTTGTGGAGAAGCAGTGAAAATTGCAGTCCTCTTTACAGAGCAGGCACATTTTGTCCTGATAATGAGACTGTTAAGCATTAAGTGGCTGGCAGCAGGAGTTTCAGTGGTTCTTGCATTCCACAGCCAGAAAGGCTTTGTCAGTATCTCAAGCTATTTTCTCCAACATCCATACGATTCCTTGCTGATAAACACCATCGAGCAATGAGGCATCACCAGAGCTCACACTTGTGTTTAGGATTCATGGGAGCACCTGCTTTGCAGCCAAAGTGCTCTGAGAATTCATGTGAATTAGAGACTGTGCCGATGACTCTAAATCTTGATGGACTATGGGGATCCGTGATGACACCCTCATGTGAACTCTCAGGTGTCCTGACAGAGCACCAGACCTGCAAAAGTAATACAGGATAAAGAGACACAACATAAGGGACAATTTTTTTTTTCAGCATGGTCCTTCAAAATTGTTAATTTCTATAAAGAAATTTAAGAGAATGAACAGGCTTTATGTCATCACTCATTATGAGTTTTCATATTAATCAACATTTATTTATTGTGAAGTGTTTTTAAGGTGATTTATTTAAAATTTCCTAACTAGGATACATTTATTCTTAGGCTTATTGTAGTTTCATATTTAAGTTTACATCCCCCTCCATTCAAGCATGTGTTTTTTTTCTTCTTGTTCCATGAATGTTCTTGGTCCTTCACTGTGCTGATGTATCTGCTAGAATAGGAAAGCTTGTCTGTGCCTACCTTAAATCCAAGTTTAGGATGTGTATGTATGAGCAGGGCATCACAGCTAATTTAGAGTCAGTCCAGACACAGCACACATACACTGAGAATGGGCTTTTTTAAGTACATCTTGTGTTTAGAAGTTAAACTGGAAATGAACAATATCTGCACTTTTATATATTCTGAAATTTTCAAAAAGGGAGAAGAAGCAAATGCCATTTTAATTTTTAACAAGATAATTGACTTTGTGTGTGTTCACTTTGTGTGATACAAACCTGGGCAAATCCCACAAAAAACAGCTGATGGTTTGTCATTCCCAGGGCAGGCAGGGTGGCCTCCTCGCCATTCTTTTTGATCCAGTTCACATAAGCCTTCACAACAACAAATGATCATGTTACACATGTATTTACTGTTTTACTCTGCACATGGAAAAGTATATAGTGATAGAGACAAAGGGGTTTACTTCAGGGCTTCCAGTGTATTATCCTCCTCCAGTTAATGCAGTGTATTTTTACTTCTGTTTTGTTCATGTGGTTCATAGCCTATGACCTTTCTTTATATGGAAAGAATGTGTGCATGTGAAGAAGTAACCAGAGACTGTCAAGGCCAATGATAACCACCTGTTGCATTTCCAGGCTTCACTGTAAACCAAACAGCCTGCTTTGTCCAATACAGATTAATGGGTGTTACCCACAACAAACCTTAATAAAATACATAATGCATGGCATTAACCTGAGAGACCGTTTCCAACCTTGTAAACATGCAATCTGACAATGCTGCTTTAGATAACACAGGAGTAATGCTCTGGACTTTCCATAATAATGTAAATCCTCTCCTGCACCAGGATTTAACTGTTAGTTTATTATCAATGACAGAGAGCCATATTTCCCCCCATATAAATAAAAAATAAAAAAAACCTCCTCAAATACAGACCTTGTAGGCAGCCTTAAGTCCACCGTTGTCAGCAATGTTCTCCCCCAAGGTGTGTCTTCCATTTAGAGGCTCCTGGTTGATGCTGTAATTTCCATATTGCTCCACCATGCACTGTGTCTGCTTCTTGAAGGCCTCCACGGAAGAGTTCTTCCACCAGGAACGCAGGTTTCCATCCTTGTCATATTCTCTCCCTTTGAATAGAAGTTTGAAATATTACTGTTACTTTTTGCATTTTTATTAAACATCTTAGTATTAAAAGAGTTACGTTAACTGTTATCCACTGAAATGTAAATAGTTTAAAAACCAAGAAGCTTTTTACCAACCTTGGTCGTCAAATGCATGAGTCAGCTCATGCCCCATGACTACACCAATTCCACCGAAGTTTAGAGCTCTGAAGAACATTTTAAAAATACATTGGAAATTTTACACAAGGAACATTGTGTATATAGACCACATGTTGTTTAAAGCAATAGTTGACATTCTGTAAAATGCATTTATTCACATTCTGTTCTGTGTGCTCAGTATGAAACTCCAGCTGGTTAGTTTAGCTTGGCACACAATCAGTCATGTTCTGTCTGGAGTTACCAAATTCTACATAGCAATGCCTCCAAAACTCACAGCTCACTTCAAAAACCATCTGTGTTTATGTGTCTAGTGTTGTTCCTAATATTCTGACGCTCTCCTGCATGTAGCTGGGGATGACAAAAATTTAGAAACACCTCTAAATATAATGTAGCCCACTACAACAGCACCTTTAACAATGATCTCAATAATGAACATAATTGAATTTATACATTTATGACAATTTCACCAAAATATGAAACATTTTGAGCGTCATAAACAGTATACCACTGTAGAGGTGCAACTATTAATGTGGCCGAGCAGTAAGTGGTTGACGGGATGTTCCACCTTGACTTTTTGAACTTTTGTCATCATTCTGCCCCTGTACCAAAGCTACTGTGCATCCACCCTGAATCACCACTCACATCTCAGATTTGTTTCGATTTGAATATTGAAAAAATAAATAAATGTAGAAATAACAAAATGGCAATTCATTCTTATTATTTGTACAGTACACCACAAGGACTCTAATCTTTCATTAAAACACAGGCGGTAAATGACATTTTCTGTGGATAATCCTGTTTTTTTACTTCAATTGTGTTTTAATGGGTGGCACAGTGGAACAGTGGTTAGCACTGTCGCCTCACAGCAGGAAAGTTCCAGATTAAAGCCTTGGCCGACCCGGGGCCTTTCTGTGTGGAGTTTGCATGTTCTCTGTTCTGGTGGACAATGACGTTTTAGTTTGTTGTAGCCTAATAATAACCATCTAACATGATTTAATCAACTTGAAGTGCAGTGTAAAAGACCTACTTAGGCCAGGAATGACTAAACAAAAAAAGGATTCCGGCTGGCAGAACCATCTCATTCTTGGTTGGGTTGTAATATGCATTCACAGTAGGAGGGGTCATGCTCCACCTGCAAAGGCAAGGACCACAGTTACTGCATGAGGCTAACATCAATGCCACAGCAAGCATAGAATATTGATTCTGCCTTGACCTCTCTGCCAGGCTGTCTACAGATCAGTTCAGAAGGCATGGGAACCTTGCGCTGTCCCCTCTCCCACATCCTAATTAGAGGCAAGGAACAGCTGAGTGAAGAGAAGTTGGTTGCCTGGTAGCATTTGCGGATGGCAGCAGTATTCTGCTGAGTCAGTATAGTGGGAGCGTGTTCCCATTAGAGCGCATAGCCTCCTCTCTGTCAACAGGAGGGTGGGGGATGAAGGATGAAGGGAGCAACTCACTGGTTTCTGTTGGGAGCTTTCCTCAGCTGGTCCGCTGTTACTCTGCCTGAGAAGTTGTAGCACTGCATGACATTTTGAAAGTAGAGTTCTGACACCACCTCGAACTAAAAGAGAGGAGAAAAACTGAGTTCAGTGTTTTAACATGGCAGAATGAGGTTTTATGTGATAAATAAAAGAAACAGGATGGTTATGACATATAATACAGTTCCACATTTACCTACATCATTGAACACTTTGTCCAGCTTTGTGGCATTCATGATGAACTCTGGATACCCAACCATGTTGTATATTGCATCTGCCTGTGAAGCATGAGAGTTATTATTTAAACTGTAAAAAACACATTTTCACAACAGATGGCAGTGCTGTATATCTTAGCCACTTCAGCACAGACACTGTTCAACAGAAGTGATTCCAGATGTCAATGTCTCTCTAAAGTAGGGGTGGGCAAACCTTTTAGCTCAGGGGCCACATTGACTTTTAAAATTTGACAGACGGGCCGGCTAGCACCAGATGCATACATATCAAACATAAACATATAAAAGGCATTACAGTGTTAATACTTACATTCACTTTTACTGGGAACAGTGTTGTTGATCACCCTTTTTTTGCCAGTGCATCGAAGCCTGGTGTTAGTTTTGTTGTGGGAATTCTCAGAACTGATCTGAGGTATTCATCACTCAACTGGGATCTGTGGGGTGCTTTGTTGGTGTTCATCACACTAAAAGTCTGCTCACACACATAGGTAGAACCAAACAACACCAGCATCCTCTGTGCCATCTTCTGGATGTTTGGAAATTTGGCTGCACTTAATGAAGCATAAAACTCATCCAGTTAGAGAGTTGAACTTCTCCTTTAAGACGGTGTCACATTGGAGATCAATCAGTTCCAGAACCGACAGCAGAATTCTCCGTGCAGGTCGTCCAGTGATTTCCTGTATTTGTTCACATGTCGAGGGGCCTCTTTCAGCGTAGCCAGTGTGGGGAAAAGAGCGAATGACTTATTTGCCATTTGCTTTGAGAATAAAGCTAGCTTGGTTTTGAAGGCTCTGACGTTTGTGAACATTTCGTGCACAAACTGATCTTTCCCTTGTAGCTTCATGTTCAGCTCATTCATGTGTGTCAGTATGTCCCCACCAAAAGCTAAATCACAAAGCCGATCTGTGTCACTCAGCTCAGGAAAATCGTCAGCTTTCTCAAGTAGCTCCAAAAATGAGCTAATCTCCTGTTTGAGCTCCCACACTCGTTGACATACTTTCCCTAAACTTAACCAGCAGACATTAGAGTGATAAAGCAAGTCCTGGTGATCAGCGTCAGCTTCTTCAAGAAACTTAATAAACTGACGATGCTGAAGTCTCCTTGCTCGAATAAAGTTAACGAGCTTTGCAACTGTCTTCACTACGTGGTCAAGCTGCAATACGGATTTACACAGTGCTTCCTGATGGATTACGCAGTGTAGGAAAATGACCTCCTGCTTAGGGTTGTCCTCTTTCACCCTCTCCTGGATTCTTTTGAGCAGCCCGACATTTTTTCCAGTCAGATTTGGCGATCCATCTGTGGTAACGTTGGCAAGCGTACTCCAAGGTAGCTTGTGCCTCTCGATGACCCCCGACACTCTGTCATACAAGTCCTCTCCCCGCGTTGACTGGTTGTTAGCATAATTAGCATGCTTGGTAGAAAAGTGACGGCTGATGTTGTATTCCTTTAAAACCGCAATGGTTTCTTGGCAAATAAGACATACAGCCTTTGACTGGACTTCAGTAAAAAAAAAACCAAAACAAAAAAAAAACTATTTAGTTGTCCATTCCTTATTGAACACTCGTCACTCACTGTCGACTTTTCTTTTCTTTGGCCCACTCATTGTTGCAGATGGGTTCAGAGCAGTAGCAGAGTACTAACAGAGTAGCTCTGGCTCTGCAAAATCAAGTCAATGTATCACCGTGTCTAATGCGCCACCTGGTGGAACGTCAGGCATTACAGGACAAGGTCAAATGAATGCAGTCATAATTATGATATGATTTGATTTGGGCAATCCTGCGCCAATCTTCGGCGGGCCGGATTAAAAGGACCAACGGGCCGGATGTGGCCCGCGGGCTGTAGTTTGCCCACCCCTGCTCTAAAGCATCAGTGGGAAGGAACCCCACCCCACCCAAGGGGGAAAAAAAAAACAAAAAAAACCCAACAACATCTTTCACCCACCTTCTCTTTTGCTGCTTGTTTTGTTACTGAATCCATCCAGCTTACATACTTTAGTCTGTCCTCAAACGCCCATTTAATTTCTGCAACCATATCTTCAGCCTGAAGACACAAAGGAAAGTAATCTCACACACCAGGAGACAACTATTGTGATGTAAGGACTTAGAAACACTTACAGTGGCCTTGCTATCCTCAGCAAAGGTGGCTTTGACAAACATGGCTCCGAGAGCAAACCCCAGGGCGCTGTCAGTGTCGCCAACACACAGTTTCCAGCGTGGAGTGCAGCTCTGCAGCATCAAATGAACACATCAAGACATGTTAAAGAAAAAAAAATGCATCCTAACATTCTCGTACACTGTTGGGTATAACCTGTTTGTTCAGAATTTGATTGTTTTACAGTGTGTCAGATTTCATTCCACCATTTTGTCTGTTTCAATTAGTCCCTTCCTGCATTTCCCAAAATGAACATGGCTAACCCTGATGAACGTGGGTGGACTTGCTGCATCCACCCACAGACTTGACATGTAGGTGGAGAAAACAAGTAGCAAAATGAAAGCTAGACAGTGAAAGTACTTTAGCTGAGACTACAGCTATTGTTTTTCCCTGGATGTGCCTGGCAATCCAGCTGAGTGCCCACCCCCAAACCACAAAGAGGATAAGCATGCATAGAAAATTAATGGATGGATGGATTTCTCTCTAGATGTAATGTAAAAGTAGTAACCTACAAGTTGTACTCCTGCCAGAGTTGAATTTTTATGTAGTCAGCAAGAAATAAATTTCTATGACATCAATACAAAACTATATCAGCATACTTGGATATTTTTATAGTTACCACAAACCTTTTGGGTAGAAACAATATATAAAAGATGAACTATAACTGCCACTGCTAAAAAATCTTTAATATTTATGGTTTTTAAAGACAATTCACAGGAGCCATTGTGCACAAGATTTCTAATAAAGACAATTAACACAAACAGAAAAAGAGAGAAAATGGTTGTGATCTAGATATGTGTGACCTTTATGACC